TCTCAACTTAGAACACTTCTAACACAAGTGTCAGTGCGAGAATTCCCCACAAACCAATCATCAGAGTTACCACAAACCAAGCCGTTGTCCAGCAGACACCAACAGGATGCCCTACTATTAAATTCTGACACTAACCAGAGTTAGCGCAGACCTCACAGTTAAGAACTCAGTCTCACAAAACTGCTGCCCCACTTTAGGTGCCAATCCAAGTTGTAGGTTTCCAGGTTACCCACAACTTCTATACAACACGACTACAAATTGGAGGTTCCCATGACCCTCTTCCCGGGTCCAGTTTGCTAGTGTGACTCACAGATCCCAGGAAAACAGATGACTTACTATTGCCAAATTATTACAAAGGATATTTTAAAGGAGACAATTGAACAGCCAGATAAAGAGATACACAGGGGGAGGTTTGCAAACATCCTTAGCATAAGAACGTCTGTCCTGGTGGAATTGAGGTGTGCCACCCTACTGGAGTATAGACATGTTCTTATTCATCAGTACAGAAGCTTTCCAAATCCTGTAATTCAGGGATATTTATGGAGGGTTCTTCATGCAGGCCTAATAAATTATTAACCCAGCCTCCATCCCTTCTCCTCTTCCCAGAGAATAGTGGGAAGGGGTAGAGCTGAAAATTCCAAGTTTCTAATCATGGCTTGATCTTCCTGGTGACCAGCCCCCATCCAGGAGCCTATCAAGATTTGCCTCATAAGAACAAAAGACACCTCTATTCCCTAGAAAATTTCGAAGAATTAAAAGCTGTGTATCAGGAAACTAGGGTAAAAGACCAAATATTAGAGCAAAAGATTCTCCTAGCACCCCTATAGCTCAAGAAATTACAAGGATGTTAGAAATTCTGTACCAGGAATTGGGGATGAAGACCAAAATACACATATTTCCTATTATAAATTGAAATACTAAAATTTACATATTTAAATATATAAAAAATACGTATTTACATAAACACTCAAAGTCGTATTCATAATGCAATGCAACAATGAAAGGGCTTGGTGCCTTCAGGTGTCATTTGGTAAAATATTTCTGAGTTGTGGTTATCAAGACACACTACAGAGTTGGTAATTGATGTAATAAATAATTTGTCACTAAAGATAAGGGACAAATGTCTGAGTATAGTTTACTCTTTAAAAATAAAACAATTTAAGCTGAAGCCATAATAGTCTAATTATCTCTTACATTTAATATTCCTCCCTGCTTTAAGGGAAGTTTTAGAAATAATTGAAGGACTGTGTGTGTGTGTATGACAATATGTGTGTGTGTGTTTATATTGTGTATTTTGTAGTTAGATAAACCATTGATCAGTCATTGGGAGAAATGCTGCTTGCCTTGTACATCCACTCAGCAGGGCACCTGAGCTAAACAGTAGTAGTGGCATCCAGTTTAGTTAAGAAAACAAAATGAGTTAGCTTAATACTAATCCCATGTACAGATTAGGCTAAACAAACTTTACTGAATATTTCTCTTACATTTCTATGTTTTATTGATGCCAATCAGAGTGGACCTGACCAGGCACTTTCCTAATTGGGATGGTGGGTTTTTTTTTGTTTTTTTTTTTTCCGTGAGTTTAATAAATAGTGGTTGTCTTTAATACTCAATACAGTCCCTTTTTCTTCATTTCCGAACCAGTACTTGTGTTCAGACATGTCAGCCAGTAAACAAAATGAGGAATAATGCTTGTTTGTGCAGAATGCTGACATAATCTAAAAGACACAAGGAAAAGTTTGGTGAGAAGTGACTTTTTCTTCACTTTAACTGCCAACCATCTAGAACAATAACAGTTGAAATAGTAAATTTGATTAAACATAATATTACCTCTTCTTCCTCATGCTTCCCTCCTACAAACCAGCAACCTTTATCCCTGGTTGGCTTTTAATTTTATATACAGCAAGTCCTCACTTAACGTAGTTGATATATTCTTGGACACTACAACTTTAATAAAGCAAAAGGATGAACAGCAGGTCCTTGAAATAGCATTGTTTTATTTGATGTTGTTTTGTTACAATGCTGATGAGGAAAAAAAAAAGTGATTTCATCATATGTCATTTCACTTGAAGTTGCTATTTCCAAGAACGGATTGACCACATTAAGTGAGGGCTTACTGTACTCTCCTGAGAACTGTCTTTTCCTCTTTATCATTTGGCACTTGGCTAAATAAATAGTAGTCAAATCAGAAAGATGGATTTTTGTGTGATGGTACAATGTCTCCCCCTAGAAAGAATGTTCTGGCCTTCAATGTGTTTATTTTGCATCTAGGAAAGCATGAGACTCATTGCATTTAAACATTTGATCTACTGAGCAACAAGAGGGTACTGTCCTCTGAGTTTTGCTGCATGTTTTAAAAATCTCATAATATTGTTTTGCCAATGGACTATACAGAGAGATTTTTACTACCCTGTTTGCTGTGGCATTGATAAAAGAGCCAGTTCCTTCTTTTCTGTTCTTAAAACTTAAGTGGAAGCTTCCTTTTTAAATCTTTGCATATGACATTTGTATAGACAGTGCTTTACTGATGATAGCTTTCATTTTACATCTTTTTTCTTAAAGTATCATTTTTTGCAAGTTCTTTGTATATTGCTTTCCAGTGATGATTTTGTCAGATGACCTTGTGTTTTGGGGGCTATATATAAAACTAAATACATTATTTGTCATTTATAACTCTGCATTTTTTGCATACTATCAAATATATGTGTGTGTGTATACATATAAAGTAGCAGTTAACATTTATTACAAACATATACGAGGGTAGTATAATGGTTAATTTACATGTATCATATCAGATAAATCAGAAATCCTAGGAGATAGGTTTTATTATTATCCTTTTAAAAAATTAAGACTATTTTAGAGTAGTTTTAGGTTATTAAAAATTGAGCAGAGAGTACAGAGTGTTCCCATAAACCTCCTCACCTTCCAACAACCCCAGATATACAGTTTCCCCTATTATGATCAACTTACTTTGGTGTGGTAGATTTGTTACAGTTGATGAGTGAATTACAGTCTACAGTTGATATTGCAGTTCACTCTTTGTGTTGAGTATTCTATGAATTTGGACAAGTGCTTAATGGCATGTACCTACCATTATAGTATCAGATGAAATAGTTGCATTACCCTAAAAATCGCATGCTCTGCCTGTCCTCTTTTTTTCTTTCTTTTTTTTTTTTGTATTAAATAAATTATAGTTACGAGATGAAATAATTTTCCAAGGGTCACATAGCTAAACAAGTATGGGAGCTGTTCTGCTTCACTAGAATCTGTGCTCCTAGTTTATACATTTGGCTGCCTGATTTGTTACAGTTACTAAATCATTTAGGGAAACTTAATTGGTAAGATTCTTGCTAATTCTTCTTATTTGTAACTTTATGAAAGTGTATGTATAGGAAACATTCTGTCTGTGCTTTCCTTTGAAGTTAAAATATTGGGGGAAACATTGCAGGGAATTTAAAAATTTTAATTATTGGTATTTGACAAGATTTCCAATTTAAGGAGGAGTTACTGAATAGAGTAGCATTACTGAATTGATAGAAAAAATGAGGAAGTCAGTTGTCTGACCCTTTGCTTATCACTAGCTATAGGTGTTAGAGACAGTAGGCTATGTCCTAGCTACTGGAATAATGAGTTAATGAAGGACATAGCAACAGTAAGTTTATTTTTTAAACGAGGGAATGAACAAAAGGAGAGGGAGTATGGAAAAAAGAGTCAAAGCTGCCTAGCATGTAGCACAAGTTGTCCAACCCGCAGCCTGCAGGCAGCATGCAGCCCAGGACAGCTTTGAACACAGCCCAACACAAATTCATAAACTTTCTTAAAACTTTATGAGAGTTATGCATGAACCTTTAAAAAAAACAAAAACTGATCAGCTATCATTAGTGTTAGCGTACTTTATGTGGGTACAATTCTTCTTCGTCCAATGTGGCCGAGGAAAGCCAAAAGATTAGACACCCCAACGTAGCATATTAGGTTAATTATATACCTCTAACAGTTTTAAAAATATATGCAAAGTAAGAAAAAAACATTGCCTGAAGTTTATGTAGGTAGAGAGTATATAAATTAGGAACAGGCAGATGAGGTCATTTGTCTTTACCGTGGTCTGTGGCTTTGGGCACCACCCAGTGCCTTACTACCCTTCACAGTCACTGTACATCTTCATCCCAACCATGCCAAACAAGATAGAACTGTTCCAGGAAAGTGCTTCTTAGGGTTGTTCTCCTGTCTTGTGCCATCCCTCTGTGTTACAGTGGAGGTAACTGTGGTTCAGAGGCGATAACTAGGTGAAGAATGTATACTTTTAGAATCTGTTTCCCCTGTAGTAGTCTTTAATGAAAAGTCAATTTGTTGTATGTAAACATTTTCGCATTTTTTGCTTTTTCTTGTGCATATGATGGTAATATTTACTTAAAACTACAACAAAGAAGGTGACCTAGCTTTAGATTAAATCCTGGATTAGCAGAATTTTAGTCCTGAATGAGGGCAGCGAGGATAAAGAGTAGCTGCTTGAGATTCACCAAATTGTGACTTCTTTTCTTCATAAAGGATGACAAAATCTTCTCAAAATTTAAAGTGGCCGCACTGTACGAAGAAAAAGAAGGAATGAAGAGGAAACAAAGGGAGAAAATAAAATAGAAAATGACAATAATGTTTCTTTAAAACTGTCTTGTCTTTCTGGTTTCCATGAAACCTTTTAAACCTTTTTTTTTTTTTTTTTTTTCCACCTTGTCTCTTGCTTTCCTGGCCTGATGTTTTTGGTAGGCCATTCTTATCTTCTGTTATATATTCTTCATGCCTTCTAGGGCTCAGACCTCAGTGTTCTCTCTCAACACTTTTCCCTTGATCATCCTCATTTAGATAAAAACAAAATGTTGTTTGTTTGTTTTTTTTCTTTCCTATGATGATTACCAAGTAGACATTTGGCTACTTCAGTTAGGCGCAGGCAGTGAAGAATCCCTCGTGATCTGTTGCTGAATCATCCATTTTCTTTGTTTTTCAAGGGTCGTAAGAGTGAGGCTGAAAAGCTCTTCTTGAAGGCTATTGAGCTGGATCCCACCAAAGGAAACTGTTACATGCATTATGGTGAGTGGTTGATAGCTTTTTTCCACGTCCCCCACATTTACTATTAATGTTGATACGAAATCTAGGTTTTGCTGGTAAAGAACATCTTAAGAGGAGATGGACTTTGTTATTGCAGATTTAGCCTCATGCTATATTCCTACCTTCTCATTCAAATCAGTCCTATTAAAGGGGCTGTGTGTTATATTTTCCTTTAGTAATTTTAATAGGATTTTAACAGGGATGGCATTGCACAGTTGTTTTTTTCAAGTTCAGTGTGGAGTTTAAATGAGATCTCATCAGGAAAGCATCTAGCTCCTTGCCTTATGCATAGTTTATAATAAAACATTTGCTTCTCTTCATTCTAAATGATAATGTATTCCTCACTGAGCATGTCATTTTGAAGTTTTAGAAGTTTACATTTTGACCTCAAAAATCTTACTTTTTGGAAGATATGGATGTACACCAGCCTGTAATTCCCAAATATTGAGGCCGAGGATAAGCTGTAGAGGGTGCAAAGGATGGCTGTCTCATTTCGCTGAGCCTTGGCCTTAATCAGTCTAGAATGAGGTTACATAACAACTCTGTCACACTCTGCTTTGTCATTAGTAGTGAGTCATGTGTTTAGTGAGGCGAAGTATATAGCTGGTTTGATATTGTGTAAGATGTGCTTATTTCTGCCAGATTTGCAGTTGGAATTTCTTTTAGGGAGCCAAAATGCATTTACTTTAGCTGATCCCTTGGGGGGAAAAGTGTTTTTTTTGATCACTGTTGGCTTTGATGTATTAGTAACTATCAAGTAGTAAACTTAAAAGTGGACAGAAATTAAATATAAGGAAATAAAGCTAATATACTAGTAGAATAATTCCGTCTCCTAGCTTCTAGCTAGTAAAAATAAATCAGTGACAGGCTGCAAGTGTAGAAGAATGGAAATAATAAAATAATGGAGATACTCGAACAACCACAAATTCATTTTTTAATTTATGTTATTGTGTGTCTGTGTTTACAAACCTAGGGTTGCAGTGCATTATCTTTCCAGCATTAATGCAGGATGGTACAACTCCTGATTTTGTTTCACAACGCAGTTGTAATGCCATGTTAAAATAGTAGTCAACTAATTTAAGTTTGCTACAGAATTTATTTTTATTTTTATAGGTTTTCCTATATGAAGTACTTCAGGATTTTCTTATGTCTAGTATTTTTGGGTACCTCAACTGTACGTGAAAGTAGTTCCATGGTGATTTTCCCTGAGTGCTAAAAGGGCTGCCTGTCATTGCATGTTATAAAATAGAAGTTTGTTTTTTTGTTTTTTTTTTTCACTATCTACTGCCTGCATTTCATTTGCCTCATAATAATTGTACTACTGCATCTTCTAAACTTGTTTCCTATAATATTATAGACTATATTATAGATAGGTTTTTCACAATCAGTTTCTTCAAACCATATCATTGCTCCATTTGAATTGCAATTTCACTATTTTATTAATTTTAAATGTTGTCCCCCTTATTAATCTGGTTATATCCATCCTCTATCTTTTTTTTTTTTTTTTGAGACAGAGTCTGGCATCTGTTGCGCCGGGCTGGAGTGCAGTGGCCCATCTCAGCTCACTGCAAGCTCGCCCCCCGGGTTTACGCCATTCTCTGCCTCAGCCTCCGAGAGCTGGGACTACAGCGCCGCCACACTCGCCCGGCTAGTTTTTTTATTTTTTAGTAGAGACGGGTTTCCACCGTGTTCGCCAGGATGGTTCTCGATTCTCCTGACCTCGTGATCCGCCCGGTCTCGGCCTCCAAAGTGCTGGGATTACAGGCTTGAGCCACGGCCCGGCCCATCCTCTATCTTATAAAAAAATTATTGTGAGCTTTACATGACATCACGCCCTTAAAATATTTTTTCCAGTAGGTGATAGTACTGGGTATTTCTCGCCCTATGAGAAACATTTGTATAACAGAAAATTCTACAAACTTTTGTTTTTTTTTTTTTTTTTTTTTTTAATTGTTTGAGCATGGAATTTCACTCTGTTGCCAGCTGGAGTGCAATGCTATCTCGCCACTGCAACTCCACCTCCAGCAAGCGATTGTCCTGCTGCAACCTGAGTTAGCTGGTATTTACTAGACACCCGCCACCACCAGCTAATTGTGTTGTTTTTTTTGTATTTTTAGTAGAGATGGGGTTTCACCATGTCGGCCAGGCTAGTCTTAAAACTCCTGACCTCTGGTGATCCACCTGCCTTGGCCTCCCAAAATTCTGGGGTTAGAGGCATGAGCCACCGCGCCCAGCCTACAAACTTTTTATTTTATACGGTATTTAGAAAGCAGTGATAGCAAATGTCTTTAAATGCATGTGTAAAAACTGATTCTTCTTAGTACCCTTGGATTAAGTATTTTTGACACACATACATTATAAGGAGTATTTTATTTTCTAAAGGAGGAATGACTATATAATTCAACATAATTTTATGAAATATAATGTTAGGTATTTTATGAAATTGTGTAAGTTTCAATATTTTTTCCTACTTTGGAATTGGTAATAGAAAGAACTCAAAATGAGGTTCCAACAAGGAGTTATAGTTAGGGCAAAATAATCTACAAACAGATAGGAAGGCCATAATTGAGTGCATGATATTCTTTGCTCATTGTGCTCAGATTATAAACCATGAAAATTTAAGGGAATCTTAATGATTTTCATTTAGAGGAATCTATTTCAAAGGATTAAATTTTAGAACTGGAACTGTAAAGTTCGGTTAAAATTATATAATATAACCGGTCTGTTGAACAAATAAGTAGATTGAAACCTAGAGAAATGAAATTGACTTGCTCAAGTTAATTACAGGTAACTTTTGGATTCCTTGACTACTGTCATGCTTTTTCTTCCATAAAATATATTCTGAGCTCGGGCACGGTGGCTCATTCCTGCAATCCCAGCACTTTGAGAGGCTGAGGCGGGCAGATCACTAGGTCAGGAGTCAAGAACAGCCTGGCTAACATGGAGAAACCCCATCTCTACTAAAAATGCAAAAACTAGCTGGGCGTGGTGGTGCATGCCTGTAATCCTAGCTACTCAGGAGGCTGAGGCAGGAGAATCACTCGAAGCCGGGAGGCAGAAGTTGAGTGAGCTGAGATCACACCACTGCACTCCAGCCTGGGTGAGACAGCAAGACTCTGTCTCAAAAAAAAAAAAAGTATATATATATATAAAATATATTCTGTTTTGTTTGAGGTTTTTGTGGTTTTATTTATTTTTTTGTTTCCTTTTTTTTCCCCAAAATATTGGCAAATAGAGACGTAGGTAGATATTTTCAATCCATAGGCCCTGCTGTGCACAGTTTTAGAACTCAAATTCATATGTCATGACTTATTTTACAGTTCATGAGAATGTTTTTTAGTAATTTTATTATTTATACAGTGTATCTACTATGTGCAACCTCACTGTTCTGTGTTCAGAAAGAAAGTAATGCTCTATAGGAAATAAACAGGATGATGTCACTTTTAGAAGGTGATGAGTAGGAAGTTGGATACTCCTTGAGACAAGGTAGTCAGATAAAGCATTTTTGAGAATATGATATTTGAAATCTCTATGTTAATCCAACTATTAAAGAGCCAGGTTCATACAGAAGAAAGAGAAAGTTAAAAGGTTTAAGACAGTATTAAGCTTGTGTTCACAGCAGAGAAAAAAAAAAGCTAATGTGACTGGAACACATTGAACCAGGTAGGAAAATGGGAGGAAAGGAGGCCACAGAGGAATCAAAGGTAGAGCCCATAGGGACTTGGAGACTGAGCTAAGGAGTTTTGCATTTTATTGTAAGTGTATTGGAAGGGCCCATGTGGAGAAGACAGGACTAGAGAAAGGTCAGAATAGAACAAGGGAAACTCTGTAGATAGTTGTTGCAATGTTTTCATCAAGAGATGATGGTGGTTTGGACTTGGAAGTAGTTGTGGGAATGTAAATATTTATACTGAAATTATATGTTTACTTCCTTTAGAAGATTTTAACGTAAGAGTAAAAATGGTGTGTTTTCCATTTTTGTATCATCAATATATCTACTATATTGCTGTTTATACAGTAATGTACAATGTGTATTGAGCTCAGTGAGGAATATTCTCCATTCTAGAATTGGATCCGGATTACAAAATTGCCTGAAAGGATGTTCTATTTGAATTTTATTTCTTGTTTAAGGAAATACATACTATGATTCTCGTATTAGTTTCTTGCCAACTTGCTGGTTATATATATTCTTAGATTGTTATGCCAACAGATTGAATGAATAATAACACTTCCTCAGCTTAAAAATAAATGTTTAAATGAAATATATGTGTTTTGAGTCTTTTAAAAATGCTTTTGCAAATGCCAATGAAAATGCCAGAGTTTGAGTGAATTTTGTATGGGAAATCCACTCTCTTGTGTGATTTTGTACTTCTGATTTGCTTGTTAGTGAATTTCCAAGTGATTTGGAAAATATATCTAGTTGGGATTAGACAGAAGGAATTAGGATAGGATTTATATTTGCTGCAGTGGTGATTAGAAGGCAGTGTTTTAAAATGCTATCAGTTACTTGTATTTTTGTATCCACTAGTTTTGTTTGGGGGAAGGGATTGAATTGCAGATTGTCTTTTTTTTTTTTTCGATTGGCTTGCAAGAAAGAAAGCTAGGCAGGTTTATTCAGTTGGTTCAGTGAGTTGGTTAAAGGTTGTGCTGTGTGGTACCTATAGTCTCTGGGATTCAGATTTCTCATCTGTAAAGTGAAGGATTGACATGGACTCCAGAAATGTTTTCTAGTACTCCGATTTCTTGTCGTTTGTAACATATACCCAATTTCTTACAGCTCCTTTATCAAAATTTTCAGGAATGTGTAGAAAATAGGTTTCAAACTATGGTATTAGTAATAATACAACACTGTGTATTTGTATGTTGTCAAGTATTCCCATGTCCAAGTGAGGCAAATAATATAAAGTCTTTATTGAATTCAGTTTATAAATCTCAAAGGTGAGGATTTGGTGCCTTGGTGTCTCATGTGGGCCTGTAATTCA